TCTATTTATTCTCGACTTAATGCCTGATTAGCCAGAGCCAAAATAGCTAGGTGGAAATAGTGCTGCAATTACTAAAACTACTGAAAGCCAGTATGGCTTTGCATTCAGCCTCTTACTGCGAATGTCCTCACACTCACTTTTTACAAAGTTTGGAGGTCTCATGATTGAGGTAATGAGTACACACTGGTGTGGGTGAATCCATGGCTCATTAGTGTCTCAAGTTTTTGCCCACTGGGGGAACATAACCTGGAAACTGAATGCAAAGCCGTTTCTGTATTTGTTAAAATGGACTATGTTTGATACTTCTATTCCATTTTGTTTTATAAATAAAAAATATTTTAATTCAAACCTAGTTTTGGTTTGTGCTTCTCTTCAATTTCAACATAAAACATGGCTAAACCAGTTCATTTATTTAGCTGATTTTGTAATTAGAGATTTTCATAAGCAAACAAACAGAAAAAAGTATAATTTGCAGGAGTAACTTTGTAAGGGTTCTTACAATTTCTTCCCGCGGAGCCCTATTTTTCCCATGTGTCAGATTCTATTAAGGTCTCAGAGATAAAAAGATAATTCTTTTTTTTTTTTGGACACAGGGTCTCACTTTGTTGCCCAGGCTGGAGTGCAGTGGCATGATCTCAGCTCACTGCAACCTCTGCCTCCCAGGTTCAAGCAATTCTCCTGCCTCAGCCTCCCGAGCAGCTGGGATTATGGGCACTTGCCACCATGGCTTGCTAATTTTCATATTTTTAGTAGAGACGGGGTTTCATCATGTTGGTCAGGCTGGTCTTGAACTTCTGACCTCAGGTGATCCACCCACCTCAGCCCCCCAAAGTGCTGGGATTACAGGCGTGAGCCACGGCACCTGGCCAAGAAGATAATTCTTAAAGAAAATCAGGGCCATCAAGAAGTTATAAAATCTATAGATAAAAATAAATATTCTGGATAAATTCTTTAAGGACACTGGAATCCATCTAAACATTTTGTGGCATGTGGAATGGTCTGGCCCATGCCCACCTCTCCTGGCTCTTTTCCTATCATTCTCACTGGCTAAGACCTGCAGTTTCCCTACTACTCCAATCTGCTCTGGCCTCTCAGCCTTTGCATGTGCGAATCCACCTGCTTGAGGAAGCTACTCCAGCCTCAACCTTTGTCTCTCCCTCTCCCTCTCTCTTTCTCTGTCTCCCCCTCCCATAATCCCACCACAAATACCTTCTTGTTAATCAAGTGTTGGCTAATAATTTCCCTGATTCTTCCAGACAGAGTTAGTTAGTCTTTGTCATAGCCTCATGGCTCTGAAAACAATGATCTTTTTGTATTGTATTAACTTAAAGGTCTGGTTCTTATTTGATTAACTCCTTGAGGTGAGACCAGGGTTAAGCTTTTTATCATTGCTGTTTTTTTTCTTGAAATGTATGAATCTCCAGTTAAAGAGCAGAGTAGAAGCTTAATAAACATTTACTAAAATGTTTGAGGATAGTGAAGAGGAGAGAGAATAAAGTGTGGGCAAGAAAATTTGAATGCTTATAGCGTGTGTGTGTGTGTGTGTGTGTCTACTTGTAAGGAATGGAAGCAGGGACACTAAATGTATAACCATAGAATGACAGAACCCAAAATTCAATTAGTGAGTGAGTACCCCTTTAGGAAGAAGTGATACAGAATGCTTGGAAATGACAACATGGTGCAGTGGGAGAAGAACAGATACTGTAATCAGAGACCTCGGTTTGAATTCGAGGTCTGCTACTTATTATCTGTGTCAACCTTGGCCAACTGTTTAATCTTTTTGCATCTCAGCTTTCTCATCTAGTAACTGGCAATAGCTAAGCAGCTCCCAAGGTTGCTGTGAAGATGAAATTAAGTATCTAGCAGAATGCCTGAAAACAGTGAGGGCTCAATCAAATGTGAGCCATCACACTATCTTCACCAGAGAGAACAACTTCACCAATCAGAATTTTTACCTGACTTCTATATAATTAGAAGGACTTGAAGATTAGATACTAAAAAATGAAAATAAACAGAAAAGACAAAACTAAAACCTAAGATATCACACAATGACATTAAAAACACTGACTTGACCCACCTATATTTTATGCCAGAATTATAATAAACATACTATAGCCAGGCAAAACTTGGTTATAACATTAAAGTAATATTCTGTGTTTTTTGTTTGCAAGTTTTTTTGGTGTCTTACTTTGACATTTTCTTTTGAGATGTTAGTGACAGCACTTTGTAATTCTATAGCATATGATTTACACACCTATAACGTTTCCCTGCCTAAAAAAACTCCTAGAAAACATGCACACATATGTTTACTGCAGCACTATTTACAATACCAAAGACTTGGAACCAACCCAAACGCCTATCAATGATAGACTGGATAAAGAAAATGTGGCACATATACACCATGGAATACTATGCAGCCACGAAAAAGGATGAGTTCATGTCCCTTGCAGGGATATAGATAAAGCTGGAAACCAACACCCTCTGCAAACCAACTCAGGAACAGAAAACCAAACACCGCATTCTCACTCATAAGTGCGAGTGGAGCAAAGAGAACACATGGACACAGGGAGGGGAACATCACATACCAGGGCCTGTTGGGGGGTGAGGAGGATTAAAACATAGATGACGGGTTGATAGGAGCAGCAAACCACCCTGGCACATGTATACCTATGTAACAAACCTGCACATTCAGCACATGTAATTCAGAACTTAAAAAAAAAGAAAAAGGGAAAAAAAAGGAAATGCTTCTCTTGGGGAAGAAACAAAAACAAAAACAAAAAACCTCCCAGAACTCCTTTGAGCTATTGTTTCGGTAAATATTTTGTTTTGGTAATAAGGGAATATAAAGGTGAAGCAGGAGTTTCCCCCTTTTTTCTACAGAGCTAAGGACTAAAAAAAAAAGAAAGAAAGAAAGACCTTCTCTGTAAAAGAGAATTTTAGGGCAGCTGATGCTTTCAAGGAGAGTAAACGTAATAGCCCAATGAAGTTCATTACAGAAGGTTGGCAAAAAAGAGTGAAATGAATGACACCAAATGGACGGGCCAAAAGAAGAGGAAGGGAAAAAACCAAATGAAACAAATGGGAGTGAACACACAAAAACTATGAAAGCATTCTAATTCTGCGCATCACATTTTCACAACAAAAATGACAAATCGATACAAATCTTTATACACACACACACACACAGAGGCAAATGAAAATATAACAAATTAACTTAGAAAACACTTTGTCTTATTCAGGCAATCCCTTTAGAAAAAAAAAATCATAGGCTACAGAATGGAAAGTCCATTACATATCCTGTAACATATGTAATATTGACATTTAAAATAAGTAAGTATTATTTACCTTCCCCAAATTTCCCAAGACTAAAAACTAATGGCACAGCAACAAATCAGTTCAATGTAAAAACATGAGGGTTTACCTTATATTTTATACCACAATACAGCAAACCGAGGAAGCTACTTTGTCTCTAAACTTATTGAGTTGAATGAGTATCTAACCGAACAAGTCAATTAATAATTTCTTGGTCAGCTCCTGTCATCTGGATGTCTCCCTGCTCTTCTTCAACAAGATTAGAACAAAACACCACCACGTGTAACTTTGTTAAGCTTTTAAGCCATGCTCTTTCTCTTCTTCAAAACCCAAGTCAAACAAAATCTCCTTTACATACCTTCAACCTCTACTGCTGCTGCTCTAGTTCAGACTCATGTTTTCTTAAATGGACTACTGCACTAGATTGCTTATTAGTCTTCCTGTCTTCAACCTAACCCACATCTCCCACCTATCTTTAACTCTGCTGCCAGAGACATATTTCTGACATGTAAATCTAATCATGTTATCCCAATTCCACTTCACCTCCATCCATGTCTTATAATTTTCAGTAGGCTAGCCTCCCCATTACCTACATAATAAACTCTAAAATCTCTGACATGGCATTCAAGATGTTTCGTATTGTGGTCTTTACTTATCTGCTCCCCCTGTATTAATCCTGCATGCCTACAGATTTTATATTTAACCAATTTTGAATTTACAGTTCCACACCATTCCAATCTCAGTCTACCTGCCTGCAACATTCTGCCTCTGTTCCTGTTTATCTTCCTGACAAGTTTCTCTAACTTAACTCTCAGGTCTAAGTTCAAATAATTCCTTCTCTGTGAAGCTTCTCTGACTCTTCAGGTGGACTGCTATTCCCTCATCTAAACTCCCACTGCAGTTTGTATATACTTTTAAAATTGCATCTATCATACTGTGTTTTCTCAGCTTTATTAAAGTATAATTGACAAAAATTGTATATATTCGAGGTGTACAACACGTTATTTTAATATATGGATATGTTGTGAAATTATTTCCACGTATCACATTATACTTAACATAGCACAGTACTTGATACATATCTATTAAGTGAATGAGAGTTTCGACTATGTGAATAAAGAAACTCAGAATGTAAAATAAAAAATTTTACAATTGTGAAAAGGCTATGAGAAAACAAGCAAACTAATCTCTACCAAACTCAGTTTTCATGTTATAAATCAAAACCCTATTGTATCAGAGCAAGGCAAAGTGCTTTTCTATCTCAAATATTTCTCATTCTACTTCCATCACTTCCTTTGTGTTTTCTCTGCTTCTGGCTGTAGCCATCAATCATAATGAGAGGAGCAGGCCAGAACACCAGCAACCACATTGCTCCTCCACCCGTCCTTTCTCCAATCACTCTGACACTCACAAATGTAGCCTCTTCCAGCAGAGCCCCCAGACCCTGCCAATGGAATGTGGACACATCAGACCCCAGATGTCGCTGTGACACTGTGTATATTAATAATGAACTTATTCCCTTACTTTTAATTACACACAGAACTAAGGAAATGAATAAAATGGACTTTGAGAAAGCCTGATGTTATCAGGTAGAAATGCTGCTGAATCTGCGCCTGCAGGTCTGTTTCTGCACACTGAGTGCAGTGGCTCACATCTGATTTTGTTAGAGCCAGTTGTGTCCCAGTTACCTGCTATTTTGATATTCATGTTGTTATCCAGCAGGAGATTTTCAGCTTTGAGGTCACGGTGCACAACCTTCCGACCATGACAATAATCAACAGCAGACAGGATTTGCCAGAATTTTCTCCTTGCTTCAGACTCATTTAGCCGGCCATGATTAGCAAGATAGTCTGTAAATGAAGACAGGATTAAGAATTAATCAACAAAATAAAATAACTCCACCATGAGTAGTCAGGAAATTTTTTTCCTCAAAAACCTTTTTATTTTTTTTTTAATAAACAGTAATTATCGATAAAGTAATAGGGTGCTTTCCTAGTTTTTTGTCTTTGGAGAAATATTTCCAATCATATTTCACTGGAGTCCAAATAAATGGTGAGCAGCATAATATTCACAGTACAACTCAAAGTGATTTTTTAAATGTCTAGGTACTCTATTTGGTGAAAAGTTTATTATTTCACACGTAAAAAAATAAAATTTATGTAAAACAGAGGAAATGAATGAATTCTCTGACATCTCGTCACACAAAAGACCTTTTCTGAAACACCGTTTTCATGTAATTATTAGACAAACCACCTGTAACACAAGATATGGCGATACCTGGAAGTAGTTCAAATAATTTACAACCTGTTCTGTTGGAAGGAATTCTCATCTGCCCAAGAACATGCAGACTTGTTCTCTAAACCAAACACTGTCATGACAAGCTGTCTCCAAACTGTAAGACAAATATATTTTTCAAAATACACTATCTTTATGCAATGTTATAATCTTTATTAAAGCAGCTTACCTGAACATTAATTCTACATAACTATATACACGAATTCAATAAAACTAAACATTACCACTCATTAAAATTTCAACCAAAGAAAGTCCTCTGAAATTATCTTTTGATCAACACAAAGAAGTATCAAGACAAATCTTGAAAGACTTTTAAATGTAGCATAACTGTCCTAACTAGGGAACTGTATGAATGACTCAATATTCCCAGTCCTGTACATCTTTTCTGCTTTAGTGTTTACTAGCTTACTATTTTTTAAATTCCCTGACTTTGGCCCATGCCTTTCTTAATATTTACTATAATTTTTAATTTATTTTAGTTTTTCGTGACAGAGTGTTGCTCTGTCACCTAGGCTGGAGTGCAGTGGTACGATCTTGGCTCACCGCAACCTCTGCTTCCCAGGTTCAAGCAATTCTCATGCCTCAGCCTTCCAAGTAACTGGAACTAAAGGTACACACCACCACACCTGGCTAATTTTTATATTTTTAGTAGAGATAGGGTTTCACCATGTTGGCCAGGCTGGTCTCAAACTCCTGACCTCAGGTGATCTGCCTGCCTTGGCCTCCCAAAATGCTGGGATTACAGGTGTGAGCCACCTATTTACTATAATATTAATATTCACACAATACTTTACAGTTTACAAAGGATGTTCATATCACAATGTCTTATTTCATCTTCCTAAACCCCTCTATGATAACTATTATTCAATTCCCAATTTACAGATGAGAAAGCTGATAATCAGAGGGATTAAGTAATCTGGCTGAATTTGTACAACTGGTGACTGAATAGTCAATCTGGGGCTGGAAATATTTGACATACTTTTTTTTTAAAAATTATATTAACGGTCTTTACCAGGCTTCTGTTGAAATCCTAACAATCTTTTCATTTTATTTGTTTATTTTTGATTCAGGGTCTTGCTCTGTTGCCCAGCTCGAGTATGGTGGCACAATTATGGCTCACCTCAACTTCAATCTCCTGGGCTCAATCGATCCTTCCACCAAAGCCTCCCGAGTAGCTGGGACTACAGATGCATGCCACTACATCTGGCTAATTATTAATATATGGAAAGAGACCCCGAACTACTGACTACAAAATGAGTCCTGGGAAGCACAATGGAATCTATAGTTACTGTTTTTTGAAGCTATCAGTGCATATTGGGAGTACCACAGGCAAGGGGAAAGAAAAACTTTGAAACGTGGCATCAGAAAAGTCACTGTCTGAAAAACAAAGGCATGGTATATCTGAACCTAAAATTACCACGTAAAGCCAGAGTCATTACATATCAGTAAATGTATAACACGGAGTGTGAGAAAAATGACAACATCCAAATTCCTGAGACAAACTATCTAAAGAGGGGGCACTTTCACTCTTCAGGTGAAAATCTCAGCAGGCATTCCAGTCTATCTATTATCTTCCCCATGCTTTATGATTTCTGCAATGTAGGCATCCCTGAAAACTGTAACATCTGCTGAGAAATCAGTAATAGAAGTAAGTGAGCCAGAAACCTGTGGCTGCAAATAAAATTAGTTTAGGCATACATCACCCACTTTGAGGAACACAATCCATGCTCAAGTTAATGCACAAAGTCTTGAAGTTAACATACAAAAAGCACTCTCATGTTTCAGATTAAAAACCTTATTTATGGCTGGGCGCCATGGCTCATGCCTGTAATCCTAGTACTTTGGAAGGCCAAGGTGGGTGGATCCCCTGAGGTCAGGAGTTCAAAACCAGTCTGGGTAACATGGTGAAACCCCGTCTCTACTAAATATACAAAAATTAGCTGGGTGTGGTGGTGGGCACTTGTAATCCCAGCTACTCAGGAGACAGGCAGGAGAATCGCTTGAACCTGGGAGGTGGAGGTTGCAGTGAGCCGAGATGGTACTACTGCAATCCAGCCTGGGCGACAGAGCAACTCTGTCTCAAAAAAAAAACCAACTTTATTTATGATTACAGAATAAACTTATGAATGTAACAGCAATTGTCTATACTAATTGCTTATGTGTATATTTTTGAGAGCTTGTTTGGAGGTTCTAGAAGGGGAATGCAGCTACTCATATACCCTTGACCAAAAACCGGTCCTCTATTGGGGGTGGTCGTCCTCTTTGACAGAGTGTGCAGCTTTGGGAGGGATGCACATGGAGGGGTGAGGAAGGAAGGGGAGGCCCACCTAGTCAGCCAGATCAGCCAAATCAACCCTGGTGATCAATGGGGTGACAGATGTTGCAGCCAGATCACCCTCATATTTGCTTATGTGTGCATTTTTGATGAATAAATACAGGTTTTAGAAAATTCTTGTTTCCTATGTTTCTGTTTGTTCTGATTGTTAAGCAAAATGTAATTTTATGTTTGTTAACTTTAATAACGAAAACTTTTAAGGTTATATTTTGTATGTCAACATCCCCTCCAGTTTTGCTTTTCTGGTAATTGATTTTCATTGCCTTTTACAAAAATCATGGTCTGCAACAGACTAATTTAAACTCAATACTGACAGTTTGATAGTTTGAGAAATACTAGTACAGGCAAGGTAAACAGGCCATTACAATGCACTGTGATGAAAGTTAGCACAGGGAGAACTGCCTAATAAATACATTATTACACAGATATCTTTTAAAATTTTCTAATTTTTTATTATGAAAGTTTTGTACATACATAAAATTATATTAAATAGTATAATAAATCATCCAAATTCAAGTTATCAACATTTTGCCATACTTGTTTCATTTATCCTTTTTTCTCATGCAACATAAGGCAAATTTTGGCATCAATTTGTTTCACCCTAAATACTTTTCTATGTATCTCTTAAAAATAACATTTTCTTATATAAGTGCAATATAATTATCAGACCTAACATAGTTAATGTTAGGTTTTACAGTTCCCTAATATCATCTAATATCCCTAATCTAATATCTAGTCTGAATTTAAATCCCCATAGTTGGCTTGTTTGAATCAGGATGCAAACCAAGATGAGCACTTTATATTTGTTTATTTTGTCTCTGGAGCCCTTTTACTCTGGAACAGCACCCTTACTCTTACCCTCCCCCTTTTTCCTATGCCACTGACTTGAAGAAACTGGGTTGGTAATCCTACATTCTGGATTTTTCCTTTCCTTCCTCACATTACTGTTTAACTTATTCTTCAGTCTCCTATAGTTTCTATAAAAAACTGAATAGATTCAGGCTTAATATCTTTTGGGAGTGGCAGGAATACATCACAGGTACATCTATGAGGAGGAATATAACATCTGGTTCTAGTGCTAAGATTAGTCAGTAAGTACTGGGAATGAGAGTCTGATCCTTGCATTAAAGATTCTTATCAGTCTTTCTCCTAATATCATGGTTCTCAAACTCCGATGATTGTCAGAACTGTCAGAGGGTTTGTTAACACACAGCTTACTGGGACCTACCCTTAGAGTTCCTGACATGGTTGGTTTTGGAAAGAGCCTGAGATTTTGTATTTTTTTAAAAGAAGTATCCAGGTCGTGTTTAAGATGCTAGAACAGGGGCCAGACTTTGAGAACCACAGCACTAACAGTTTTAGTATTCATTGGTGGCTGTTAGATGAATCAATGATTTCATTAAGGGTTGCGAAATTGTGATTTTCCAATGGATTCCTGCCACACCTATTAGGGAAAATTTTTCTTAGAGAAGTATTTTTTCTTGTCAATCAGAGTTATTATTCTGAGAAACAACTTTGATATGTAGGGATAATGACTGCTAAATTCCTCTTCTTTAGGTACCAATTTTCAAAGTAAGGAGTTGGCACACTAGCCACTTCCAACAATGACCATCAAGATTTGTGTGTGTATGTTTGTTTGTTTTTTGAGATGGAGTCTTGCTCTGTTGCCCAGGCTGGAGTGCAGTGGTGTGATCTCGACTCACTGCAACCTCTACCTCCCAGGTTCAAGTGATTCTCCTGCCTCAGCCTCCAAACTAGCTGGGATGACAGGTGCGAGCCACCATGCCTGGCTAATTTTTATATTTTTAGTAGAGATGGGTTTCACCATGTTGGCCAGGCTGGTCTTGAACTCCTGACCTCAAGTGATCCACCTGCCTTGGCCTCCCAAAGTGCTGGAATTACAGGTGTGAGCCATCGCACCCAGCCTGTGTGTTTGTTTTATTTTCCAGCCTTCTTTTCTCTTTCTTTCACGATTCAAGCAACATAATAAACAACTTCAAAGGAGTATGAGACCAGTCTAGGCAACATGGTAAAGTAACGTTTCTAAGAAAATAAACTATTACCTTCATGTGGCTGATCTTTGATCTGCTTTATTCTTAGCTGAATGATGTTAGTTTTTTTTCATAATCTTCTCATTTAGTGACTGTCTGAGGGTGCCTTTCGTCACCCTAGTCAATGCCACTCTGGCACTGGGCCTTCTGCTCACAGACCTTACTGAAA